CTTATATATATATATATATATATATATATATCAATATTCCAATTACTTGTATGTAGACCATTCTGCACTATTTCTATTATATTTCATTTTATTTACTTGCACTATTTTATGTTTTATTGTATTGCACTGTTGGAGACACGTCTGACCTAAGATTTTCATCGTCATAACTACACTGTAGCTACTGTATGCACACATGACAATAAGAGCCTTGAATCTTGAGATGATCTCAGTTTGAAGATTAAAAATTGCAACCTGCTATTTTCCGTTCAGGAGCAGCAGTATAGTGAGAGAGACTGTAGTCTGTTATTTCCTCCAGCCCTCAGCAGGATGTCTGCTAGTATAAAGTTTGCTGTGTCATGGAAAAACATAGCTAGACATCATCTGCACTCCTAACATAAATGAATAGATTAGTGATTTGGCGTGAGAGTGCAGCGTGGTGGAGCCTGGGTGGAGCAGAGGGCGACCAGCAGGAGGATATAAGCCGGCTGTGAGCTGCAGATGGTGCTCGGCCTGGGATGGAGGAGGGAAAAGGGGATGGAGACGGACAGGCTCACAAAGACTGCCTCCACCCACCCCCATCGCCCATCCACCCATATGATTCCTCCGCTACAGAAGAATCCCCAGTTGTTTGGCTGGAGGGAGGGAGGTAGGTGTACAGCTGCGTTACAGCATCAAGGTCCGAGCCTCAGGGAGAGGCAGAATTGACTCTTAATGGCAAACAAGTAGACCCTGTGACCCCAGCTTTGGTCTTTCCCTGTGTGGTAATGTCTGTCTCCCTCAACCTCTCGGCTTATTTTCCCCTTCGTACTGCTGACTGTCTCATGGTCTGCGTCTCACTTCTGCTTATTGGCTGCTGTCAGAGCTCAGACCACAGCTTCAGAGCGAGGTCTGTCGGGTCTATTTCTGAACATTTAATACTTGTTAAAGAAAGTCTATCAAAAAAGCACAGACACAAGTTTTCCTCGCCTTATGACAAGGATTAAAGGCTTTAATGTCTGCATACATTTATTAAAAATATCCTTGAATAAAAGCTTCTGACATGACATAAGTAATCCATCCTCGGAAACCTCAAAAAAGGAACGTAAGCATGTTTTTAGGTTCACAGTGATATTTTGTTCTTCTACGAAAAGAAAAAGGTCTTTCTCATACTGCCTGTGCTGCAGCACCTCTTTACACCCTCTGTCTGAAACCAGAGCCCAGTCTGCTCTGATTGGTTAGCTGGCAGGAACTGTTGTGATTGGTCAACCTCTTAGAGATGTCCCGCCCCTTAGCCTATCACTTACAATGTGAAGCGTGAGTGTTGAATAGTCACATTCATTTTAGCCTCTGCAGACCATTTACATGCAAAAAAAACCTATAAAACACACCAGAAATAAAGAGAGAAAACCCCAAAAAGCATAATGTTTCCTCTTTAACAGTCAGACAGTGAGTGCAAAGTAGTGCCCATATCGCTTAATTGTTTAATAAAGGCTGGTAGCTATATGTGATTGCATGCATTAAGGGGATGGAGTCGTTTTAGCTTTCAGCAGTATGGCTGTGGCACATCAGTGAGGTGGGACAGAATAATTGAAAGCCCTTTTTATCTGTGGCTGGCTGTGCAGCTCCTCACAGAGGCCCCTAATTATCATGTCACCCAGAGATAATTCAGGAGACAAGATCGTTCACACACACACACACACACACACATACACAGGCACGCACACACTTTAATTTGCAGCCGCTGAATCAATATGTGTCTGAAGGTGAAGTCTTATCAATTATGTGGTCTTTACATGTATTGTTCTCACCTTCCCCATACAGCCTCACTTTTCCTTTTTAAATGGATGCTGTTTGTGTTATTTAATTGACGACGGAGAGAAATAGAAAGATAGTGTGCGTGTGTGTGTGTGTGTGTGTGCAGGGAAACGTCTTAGTCTATTTGAGTGATTCAAGCAACCGTGATGTGACTCGATCGAGGCTTTACGCGTTATACAAAAAGCATGTATAAAATGTAGGCCTCCAAAAGGGAGCACAAGTCTGCTTAATGATGATGACTATAATATAGTAAATTATATATGTGTAATGTGTATGGGAAAGTGCTGAATGGGTATTCTTCTCTACCTCCATGTTCTTAGGCAAGAGAGGTAGTATCTAAATATTTTATCATAAGAGGAAGATGCAAATGAGACGCTACGCTAACATCGATTGACTGGAGCAACGATTATATTCAGACTGGTTTTTTTGTTACAGCATAGTAGCACCCTTGGCTGGTTAATGAAGGGCTGTGATTTTGCAGCAAATTGTCTTTAGTTGTAAAGCAGAGCACAGTCACAGTGTGGTCTATACTAACCAGGTGACACATTTCAATACTAATTGTACCTTTGTTATGGAACTAATATCAATATTTCCCTGTCTTTGCTAATCAATTGAATTACCTGCAAAACCAAATACATTACCATAAGCCTTTACTCTGTGTTTAGTGTCAATCAGCCAATGAGTAGTTAGACGCAAATTAAGAAAGTGAAGATGTCATACATTATCCCTACTTAACATTAACATGTTGTCATTTTGATTATGTTGCTTTGCTAGCATTTAGCTTAAAATACAACAGTGTCTAAATACTGCCTTAGCTGCAAACTGATGCTGCAATTTAAGATAAATCCGATGCATTCTGTCACTTCACACATATCACTAAATCACATTTCATTAAATATATTTCACATTTATGGGCTAAAACACACATTTCAGTCACATAACTCCAGAAATACTAACGGTACGTCCACACAGCAGCTTTGAAAAAATCTTGAAAATCTTGGAGCTGGGCGTGTCTGATAGCTTGGGGATTTTTTGCGAGCAACGCGACCAACAACCAATCACATGAATCTCCCGCCCCCGGCATACGAAGCAAAAAAACCCGGGGATTTTATGCGAGCAATATATATATAAACTCCCCAAACTGGCGAAAACCTACCAGTTTCACCCACTGTCTCTGCCACCTCCCTCCATGCCTGGTTCCTCCGGTTTGTATCCCGGTAAATAGTAACTGGTCGTAAAGAACCGGGTGATTTGCTACCGTAATTTCTCGTTTGGAATATGAGGAAATGAACTGCGGTCTGTCTCTCCCAGCTTGCACGCGGTTTGATTGGCTACTATTGCTAGCGCTTGTACCGTCAGGTTTGCATAAACGGTATTTGATTGGCTGACGCTTCCAGCTCAGCTTCAAAAGTTGAACATTGCTCAACTTTTGAATCCTGAAAATCCTGTAACGGCCCGTCCACACTACAGCTTCGACAGCTTTAAAAACGGTTTCCAACGCGTCTGATCATTCACTTTGAATGGGGTGACGTCACGTTGCCTCGCTTTTCGCCAAACTGACTTGGGGGTAGCAGAGCGGAGCTTTCCTGGCGTTTCAGGCTGCAAAAGTTGAGCAATGTTCAACTTTTGAAGCTTCTGAAGCTTTCGGTGGAAGCGTCAGCCAATCAAATCATATGCCAGTACAAGCTCTAGCCAATCAAACCGCTGCTTGTGTGTCAGGGGCGGGAGATTCATGTGATTGGTTGTTGGTCGAGCTTCAGACACGCCCGCCGGCAAGCTTTAAATCGTGTAAATCTTCGCTTCGCTTCCCCACAATGCAGTTCGGCGAAAAGCGAGGCAAAGTGACGTCACTCCCATTCAAAGTCAGAAAGGCAGAGAAGCGTTGGAAGATTTTTTTAAAGCTGCTGTGTGGACGTACCGTCACGGCCCCTACACACGGCGGCGTGCGTTGTCGTTTGCCGGTGGGGGGGCTGAAACTCGACGAACAACCAATCACATGAATCTCCCGCCCCAGACACACAAGCACGCGGTTTGATTGGCTAGAGCTTGGACTGGCATATGATTCGATTGGCGGACGCCTCCGTCGAGGCGTCAAAAGTAGAACATTGCTCTACTTTTGCAGCGAGCACCGCGAGAGAAGCTACGCTTTGCTCCCACAATGCAGTTCGGCGAATCGTGACGTCACCCCATTCAAAGTGAATGGGCAGAAGCGTTGAAGCGGCAATGCACGCCGCCGTGTGTAGGGGCCGTCACAGCAGCGAAGGGGTGGAGCATTGAAGTCCCGTCTCTTTGTTTGCACAAAACAAACCCAGGACCGAAAGCTGGCTAGCTTTCTTTTCCTGTTAGGGAAATAGTGGACTCGATGTCCTGACAGGCTGGTATTTGTGCAACCTGCACAAACACAATACTGCACCATGATTACAAATGGTGAAATACAATGTAAAACTACCGAAAAATACCAGCTCACTAAAACACAACCGCTCAACGCAACTCTACTATTCCCGCGGTCAGAGAGCGGAGATGTGTCCCCTTTGTGATGTAATATGACGCGTTTGACGTATCACCTTAAAAAAAAGCCGTTTTTAAGAGCAGAGCTCAAAATTGCTCCTTTCCCTCTGAATTCCTGCCCTTATGTCTCGTAAAACATATCAAATCCTGCATTCACTTTTTTAATTGTAATTTTCAAGCAAGTTTAAGCATAAATGTAGAAAAAAAAAACCCCTGCAAGTTGCTCTTTAATAAATGTTCAAATGAGAAACACATCGAAATACATTTTAATAGATTGCACCACGCCTCTGTTTAAAAGTGATCTCAAATCTTTCCTGAATACATCTTGAGTCTTTATCTCCTTATCTCTCCGCTTGGAACTGATATTTGACCTAAAGAGAAGATGTGGAGTGAGTTCTAACTCTTTGCAAACATTCATACAAATGAAATCCATTACTGTGCCACTCCCAGTGAGATCCATATTGGAAATACTGAGATATCACACTGCCAGTAGCACTCAAACCATTCGAGGCCAGACTCTGGTGAAATCTTAGACCAGTGTTCGATGAGGAGGCTCCATCACATAGATGTATTGATTTCTCTTTGAAACATAGCCTCATGCTTGATGCAAACATAATGGAGATCTTAAAGATAATATAATGTCCGATGTGTTTTCCAAGTGCACATATTTGACCAGCTCCTGTCCCTTTGCTTTGCAGATTTGTCCAAGAATCGACTGACAGAAATCCCCCCTGATTTGTGTCTGTTCGCCCCCCTGGAGTCGCTCAACCTCTACCACAACTGCATCAAGTGCGTCCCAGAAGCCATTATCAACCTGCAGATGCTGACTTACCTGGACATCAGGTGAGTCATTGCTATCACTGTGTTTTGTCTCCTGTGTCTTATTAAATAAATGTACCAAAAGTGAATGCCTGTGTGTCCGGTTTTATATCTCTTGAAGAAGTGCTTGTTCCCTTTTTAGGACACTGAAAGCCGGGAATGTTTCATGAAAGACAGACATTTCCTCTTTTGCTGACACTCTATTCCCCGTGTCTACATACTCACTGCTACACGTATACTTCATAGGTCAATGTTTTATCTCTCCCTACAGCCGAAATCTCCTGTCAGTTTTGCCAAAATATTTGTTCAGCCTCCCCCTCAAAGTTCTGCTTGTGAGCAACAACAAGCTGGTGTCCATCCCCGAGGAGATCGGCAAGGCCAAAGAGTTGATGGAACTGGTGAGCTATGTGTGTGTGTGTGTGTGTGTGTGTGTGTGTGTGTGTGTGTGTGTTGATGGTACTGCCAGAACAATCTCATTCCTGACACTTTGTCTCCCCCTGCAGGACGTGAGCTGTAATGAGATCCAGGTGCTGCCGGCTCAGGTTGGGAGGCTTTACGCTTTGAGAGAACTGAACATCAGGAGGAATTGCCTTCACATGCTGCCTGAGGGTCAGTCCATCACACCGGATTCATCCATTCATTCATAAACTAACCACGGGTTCAGCTAATAACATGTATCAAGCAACATTGAATAATCTTGGGCTTCTGTCATGCTTAAACAATGTTTTAACATAAAGCAACAAACCATGCAGCCTTTGATTTTGTTTATATTTTACAAAAGTAAAGCCCTAAGTGTAAGTGTTTGCCATGATTCAGGGCACTTTGTTTGGTAAAGTGTGTTCAGGTCACATGAGAGTTTGAACTCTGTGATGAAAGGCAGTTGCAGAAACCTTTCATTTCTCTGCATGCATTTGAATTTGAGTGAATTTCTTTAAAAATATGTATCACACCCTTAAGGTGGAGAGAGGAGCTGTGAGACTAGAATCTTTTAAATGAAAAATCTGCATTTCAAAAAGACAATGTACTGTGAACGACCTAACAATGGGAATTGTGGGATATCTCATTTTTGGAGCTTGACTCATACAAGAGAAAAGTAATGTGCTTCCACTTTAATTGAGTTCCCCATGTATATAGAACAATACAAACTAAATCGCTGGAGTACTCCTTTAAGATGCCATGGTACTATATTCAGTAGCTCAACCTCAATGTGGACATGCCTCAGGGTTATGCTGCACTCCTACTATGTATATATATATACAAAGCATATAATGTGACCCCCATTGCATTTCGTTAACTGTACATCACATTTAACAAAAGCTTTTCTCTGGTCTGCTTACAGAGTTGTCTGACCTACCTCTCATCCGCCTTGACTTTTCCTGCAATAAGATCACAGAGATTCCTCCGGCTTACAGGAAACTCCGGCAGCTGCAGCACATCATCCTAGATAATAATCCTATGCAGTCTCCACCCGCACAGGTACGTGCATTTGTACAATTCTGTTGACGTCAAAAATGTTTCTGTCACAAATTATTTCTATGGTTTTCACTCTACAAACCAGGTTCAGTTGCACCATCTAGTGGAGGACTGAGGATTTTTACTACTCAGACTACAGAAACACATCGTGTGCGTTTGTATGTTTCAGATTTGCCTGAAGGGCAAAGTGCACATATTGAAGTACCTGAACATCCAGGCGTGCAGGACGGACAAGAAGCCGGACACCCTGGACCTCCCCTCCCTCGGCAAACGATGCATCCCTCAACCACTCACAGATAGGTACTAACTCATTCACGGTAAATGTTTGACTATGACATAAAGAGCTGCATTAAAAAATATATATTTATCAATTAATGCAAATTATAGTTTTTAATTGCATATGGTCTATAACATGTCCTTAAATAGTGAAAAATACTATCCTAGTTTATCAAATATCTTGTTTTTGTGTCCAAAATATTAAGTTTAACATGATATTGAACATATACAGGCAGGACATATCTATATTTGAGATGCTAAAAAAAGTCATTTTCTGCCATTTTTGCATGAAAAATTACCTTTCACCAAATAATTACCAAAAGTCTTTAATTAAACTATGACTCGATTGTTTTTTCCGTTGATTTACTAATACATGAGTTGCCTTATAGTTGATACTCTAACAGAATGAGTTGCTTTTGTTAATTGTGTGCTTGCAAATTACATGTTATGGTTACGTTTACAAAAATACAGGCCTAATGAGCAGTTTGTTTTGTTTTCCAGCATGGAAGATTTTTATCCCAGTAAGAACCACGGGCCTGACTCTGGAATCGGTAGTGACAATGGCGACAAGAGGCTGTCTACGACTGAGGTCAGAGTTCAAACTCGAAAGATGCTAATGTAATGGCCAAGTCATGATGATCATGTTATTGTATTTTACTACTTAACACAATGAAAAACGTAAAGATACAAGAACGTCAAAGTATGGCCTTTGGACAATTATAATACATTGCTGCTAGCCTTGTCACGGCTGGAGGGCAAGGTACACAGGACCCAAATACAGAATATCCAAATAAATAAAAAAATAAATAAAATAGCAACAAAGTAAAATAAGGCAAGGCAAAAACACAAAAATCCCTCTGAACAAAAAAACCTTCCAACAACATCAATAATCTCACAAAGACAGACAGAAAAACCAGAACTTAAATGCACACAAACTAATCAACTGAACAGGACACAGGTGAGGGGGGAGGAGACAACACAGGGCACCAGGTGCACACAATCAGCAGTAACAGACAAGATGGGAGGGGGAACACAGAGACAGGAAACCAAAGACAGAACTAGACATGACAAAAACAAAACACACACAGATTGTGACAAGCCTGCGATTTTTATTTCATATTCATGTTCATCTACAAATTCAAACCTTTTGGCTTCAGGCAGGAAATAACACAGTATTTTTGTGCCTCGCAATCCACAATTCAAAAGAATAGTTGCAAAAATCGAATCAAAAGAGGCCAAAGTAGCCAAGCAGTGATTTAAAAAAACTGGCTTATGAGGAAAAAAAGGCAGACTTGAGAGACCGATAAGAATTGAAATCGGCAACCGACTATCTTTTGCGAGTTGGAAGCTAATTTGGCACTGGAAGGACTTGCTAATGGTGTTACGGCTTAGTTTAAAAGTTTCGTTGAGAGTAACTTGTGGACAGACAGGGGATTAAGTCATGACAGGAGAGGCTTTTATGGAAAAATCAACATCTGGAAATGTGTGTGGGAGTCCCAGACACATTAACCTTCCTGCTGCTGCTGTTGCAAAACACTTTTATATCTGTGGGATCACAACAACATTAGAGACTTCATCCAGTCAACGATGCATTCAGTTAAATCCCTGAAATAGGAGCAAAAGTTGACTTGTGGTTCTTCTTCCCCTCCTGCAGCCTTCAGACGACGACACAGTCAGCCTCCACTCTCAGGTTTCAGAGACAGCCCGTGCTGATGCCCTCTCACTCCTCTCCAAAATGGACTCTTGCAAAGGTTACCCAAAATAAGTATCACATATTCCCTTTGAAAGCAATAAAACGGGAGTGCGCGGGGTGGTTGAATGAAGTGCCTACAATTTGAACGTTTATTTGATGACCGCGGATGCTTCCTCCCTCTATCAGATCAGGATCTCTATGACTTTATAGACCCCAACCCGGACGAGGATCCTGCTCTGTCAGAGTGTGACGGGCAGCAGAGCGGTCATGTGTCTTGTATAAAGGTATGAATCGATACATCAAAACACCGGAAGGAAGATTCAAGCATAAAGAAAAGTGAAGAAAGGACAGGAAGAGATCAGATCCAGTTCTGTCGATGCATTTGTGATTTGTGTGTGTGTGTGTGTGTGTGTGTGTTTGTTTCAGGAACTGGAAAAGGTTCTTAACATGTCTCACCAAAGCAAAGACAAAGAGAACTGGAAAGAGGAATCAGGGTGAGTCCATTCTTCTATACATTTGCACTGATGCTTGCACAAACACGCATCGTCCTATTATTATACAATAGATGAATTTTCTTTTTAGGAAAAGGCTTGCCATGATTTCTGTAGAAGGAGTTTCCTTCACAGCAATGAGTCAACATTTGGCTGGTTGCCATTAGCCCTTGCCCATGGAAAATTCAGAATGACATTTGATGTTCCTCGGAAATATTTATTTTGTTTATCCCAAGGTTGCCAATGTATAAATCCTGTTCCTTGGTTACCTTAGTTCAATACCGTTATAGGGCCAATAGAGGAATTTGTTAGCCACTGCTCAAGAAACAATGGTTTTAGTTCATCTTTTTATGACAAATTTCACAACAATCACAAAAAATATATAGACAAAGTGATTTAGCTACATGACAAGAAACTTCAAACTTAGAGGAACATTTTGAAGGTATTATAACTGTCTTTTTCTGTGTAATATATTTAAGAAGAATGCAATCGACTAAACATTGCACCTGAAACATGAAAGTGGACCTATCATGCTATATTTGAATAATATAGTGTAGGACCATACCTATATAAGGCATATTTATACTTTTTATTTTTCAAAATACCAAACAGATCATGCATTTTAGCCATTCCTCATTTCGCTCAATTTAACACTGTCTGTGCATGGGCTGATTCTGTGAGAACAGCACCATCTACAGGCCTGGCATATGTACTACAGCGTCTCCAGCGCTTTCGAACGGCAATGTCCGTGGCTGTCTCCTCCTGATTGGTGGAGTTGGCCCAATAGCCGTAGCGCCACTTCTGTGACGTCATAGAAGTGTTCAAATCTGGATCAGTCTGTATCAGATCCGTTGCAGCCCCTTTTTACGAGATTTGGTTATGGAGGAAAATAGAGAGGGTTGTGTTTTCTGACACTTGGTGAGTTCCCTGGAACACCGGGGCCACATATTCATGTATAAAAGACGTACAAAAGTGCATTTTGCATGATAGGTCACCTTTAAGTTAGCAATTTCACAAATATACACATATCATATGGCAGTGATGGT